AAGTTATTTGGTTTCCTTCCTGAATTTGTATAAATTCTTTTAACTTACCTAAGGTAGTGGCCATTGGCTTACCTTCAGAACAGTAGTGGGTTTCCATATTTTTTACTACTGGTTCACTCACATGCGATGCTTCTGCACATGGGCAGAAGCGTCCGGATGGGTGGGTGGAGCTTCCCGCCACCGCTACTACGGTTTGGCCGATCCGGAAGCAACCCACCTCCGCTTCAGAAACCAGTTTCTAAGCAGTCCAGTTTGCAAACTGACCAAGGGACTGAACTATTTACATATAAAACCTTTCCACAATAAAGTATAATTTCTTTTCTTGTCCTAAATCTGCTAACACTCAATTTATGGCTTATCAAAAGTCAAGACAGAGCCAGTCTGTCTCAAAGTGTAACCATTTGACTTTTCTGCTGATAAGAAAAGAGGCACAGTTTTGCTTTACAAAATCACTTTGAAGAGGCACTTCTACTGCCTCTGAAGCAAAATATCCTTGTTGAGATCTTCAGTGCCCCATGAATAAGCCTCGGATGTGACTTTGTTTTATGCAACAAGTCCTGGTAGAAATAATTGCAATTTTTATCCCACTATGTATAAGTATTTATAATTTTATAATCCCTATCACATGTATCCTTAGTTGTCGTTTTTCTTCTTAAAACTAAGAATTCCAATAGGTCCTTTTTCTTAAGGATCAAAATATCACTTCGACGTGAAGCAGCCAGAAAGTATTTCAGTACAAATGCACCATCAGTTTATATCAATGTCAAACAAGAACTACCTCTATTAGCTGTCCTGGTGGAACCAGCAGAATGAATTTCCATATTTCATTGAATCCATACATCAATAAAAGTCATTTCTACATTGTGTCATGCTTTAAAAAAAATACTAGGAATTAAAAGAGAAAGATGAGTAGGACATCTGCTGGCAATACACTGTAATTAGAGATACTTAAATCTACTTCATTTAACTGCATATTTTCCTTTTCTAGTCTGTGAAAATGTGTGCATCTAGAGTACCTACTGTTTATGTTAAATGATGCTTAATAAACATCCTTGTCACCAATGAAGTTCTTTAGTCAGATGTTATTATGTGCAACTGCATAAAGACACATGTGGATGTCAGCGCAAAAGACATACGTTCGTAGTAATTAATTGCTTTAGAAAACAAATGTAATAAAAGAAATTCATTTTGGAGAAATAAATGAATACAAAATGCATATTTAAGGAAAAGTTCTACCCAAAGTACAAGTAAACATGTTCTTGTTTAAAAAAATATAAAGAAATTAATATATGGAAAGGAACCAAATTTAATCTACAAGTTCCGGACCAAAACAAAAAATTTAGGTAGAAGTCTTACAATCTTACAGTCACAGATTATTATGCAAACTCACATAGTGGTTGTATGTACATGATCCACTTAATCAGGGTTAATCAAAGTTTACTTGATCCTTTTCTTATATTCACATGACTTGCTTAACCGTACACTAACCACATCCTATCTAATCACTATTCAATAAAACTGTCTAAAGACCTTTTTTCCCCCAGTGATATAAAAATATGAATTAAATACTTAAGGTAAAGAAAGATAAGGAAAACACAAACAATATAACTATGCAATAATATAAATTATCACTTGAAGCTAAAAAGTAATATAACATATCAATAAAGCAACATTAGGACCACAGACAGATCATAAATCATTAAACCATGTCCAAATCTTTCACTTGCTGTTGAAAAGATTGTAATGCAAGTTTGGAAAAAATTCCTTCAGTAGCAGGCATTTTTCAGAAAAATGAGGTTATAATTGAAAAAGTCTCTCCATTGCAGCTACCACATCTTAATAATTGAGAGGGATGAATACCAAATTGTAACTACAGATTGAGAAATTTTGGGGGGGAATGTTGCTACCAGCTATATAGAATAAGATCTCCTTGAACAATTTGAACATTACAACAATACTTTGATAATGGCAACAGATTGCCAACTCAAACCATAATGGGATTGTAGTGACCAGCATTTTTACTGGCTGTTGTTCCACATCAGCTGAAATTTCTGGATCATTTTTGAAGTATAATGTAATAAGTTAACAAAAGATAGATAACTATTAGTTACTCTGTCCAGATTGGTGCATAAAGTGGTCTTTCTACTAGCCTAACAAAAATGAGTAATGATACTAGTAACAAAGATAGATGTTAAAAATAAATGCCCTGTATACACAGAAAGAAAGGGACGTCACTTTTGATTTGTTTTCTGCAAGGTATTAACATTCTTGTATTCTTCTCTTGTCTGTTTGTTCATTCTGATTTGAAGCGTTCCAATCAGGCAATTTTGGTGCTTTTAGTAGAAGGAAAACACACATCCAATAGAAATTGGTGAACAGATATTCGATAATTTCAATGATGGTAATCATACTGGCTCCACAAAATAAGCCCAGCTGACCACCAATATCAGCTGTAACAAAAGCAACAAATTTATTCATCTAGTGTTTTTAACTGCAACTCTATCCTTATTTAGTCAGAAATAACTTCATATTGGAGTCAATATAATTTAATACTATATATTACTATATATGTTAATACTATATATTAACAACTTGATCTCATGTGCATGTAAGAGCTGAGGTGGCGCAGTGGTTAAATGCAGCACTGCAGGCTACTTCAGCTGACTGCAGTTCTGCAGTTCGGCTGTTCAAATCTCACCGGCNGTAAAATGAGGACCCGGATTGTTGGGGGCGATATGCTGACACTGTAAACCGCTTAGAGAGGGCTGAAAGCCCTATGAAGTGGTATATAAGTCTAACTGCTATTGCTATTGCTAACCTTTCAGATTGACAAGCTCAGCATCTTAGCCACTAAGCCACCGGGTCCCTTTTCCAGTCTACTGGAAGCCTTTAAATTACTTCATGTTTAAGTGGTGCCTCTTTGCATGTTTAAACGGTGCTTCTTTTCTGCGCAACATCATCCCTTAATGGTGACAAATGTATTTTCCGGGATTCCGTTGCTCTTAGTTACTGTTTCATTAACAAATATGCACAGATATGTCTCAATAAGCAGGCAGCTAATTAACACCTGAGGGTTGCCCCTCCACACACAGAGAAGAATCGGTCTCCAGTGGCCCAAATGATTTCACAGCAAAACAGTCACCAGTGCTCCATTCAAATCATGGATATTTGTTTCCTGACAAACCCCAAAGACATGGCCACCAGGAATTTATTCCATAGCTGCCGACATGGTTATAATTAGGGGGTAATAAAAACCGCTGGCTATGAACTATCATTTTGTTTCAGTAATTCTTTCTTTATTGGGCAAATTCCCCTCCCCACCACCGCTGCATCATAACTTATTTTAGAGACAAAATAGCAGCTGTAAACACACTGTTGTTGTTGAAGGAGACAGATGGGGGTTCTGGGATTTTGCATAGATCTCTCTGCCAGAGAATGCTATTTCTTCACCCAGTCCACAGGCATTTCTTCCCTGCCTTTGATTCCCTCCCCCGACCTCCAGCCCCATCTACCTATTTGAGAGAGTTTGGGAAAAATATATTTATGTCGGTGGCTTTTTTTTTGCTGGCGGTTATTATTTTTTTATGTGTTTTATAGTATTTATGATGTCAGGGAAAGGTTTTTAAGGTGACGTTCCTGGATATTATTTGGGAGGGGAAGGTAGTCTATAAATTTTGCAAATGAATAAAGAGGAGGCGGGAGTCAAACTTAGCTGAACTGGTGGCTGGAAGCACATGTTCATCATACACACTTGTTGTCCACAAAATGGGAGTGTGTCCCTTTCATCCAGGATGGTTATTCAGTTTCTCAATCTAGCGCAGGGTTTCTCAANAGCTCACTTGGGCAAAATAGAAAAAACACAAAGTTATCTGGTGTTTATACATTCACATGGATCCCACAGGGGGGGACTGGAGAAGCAAGATTTCAGTCCCTATCCATACTGTCTGGAGAAACACTTAATAAGAGAACCCCATATCCTCTGCAGAAAAAGGGGCAAAAAGGGGCATCTCCTTTCAGTCCTCTAAACCAGTATTTATAACTTTAAAATTGGTGGACTTCAACTCCCAATATTGTCCATGAAGCATTGCTGAGGTTGGAAAACACTGCTCTAAACTCAGACCTTCCCCATAATCAAATTTCTCCAGAGATCTCCAACATTCCTTAACAGCAGAAATGCACATTTAGCACCACTACTGGTAGTATGCCTGTTCTTCCTGCAGCAATGTGCAATTTTTGCTTTGCTTCCCACTGTAATTTTGCACAACGCAGCCAATTAAACATCTAAATATTAGTAGTTCATCTATTGCAGAATCCAGCTGTTTGTTTATATAATATAGATTATTAGCAACAACCCCCAGTCAACAAACCAGAAGTCAAGGGGCCAACAAACCACCACAAAGCTCACAGTCACAGCTAGACATTGAGATCCAGGTCAGGAAAAGAATTAAAACAAGGTTTTCAATGCAGCCATCAAGCAGAATATAAATTCAAGGTCAATCCAGTAGAAATCTAGAAATGAACACCGGAAAAATCCAGAGCTTGCTCTAACTGTGGCCAGTGAACATATCTATTCCCAAACTCAACGATGGTCTTGGGGACTCATCTAGTCAGAC